TAAAGGAAGTTGTTGAAAGTGACAATTCATATACAATGATGCAAGGTGTCTGACAAAATACTTGAGTACGAATAAGTAGGAACTGAATGATCCCGTTCTTGAAACATCATTCACGTGGCAACCTGACGGTTGTATTATTGATAATAGGCTTTTCACGTTCATTATAAAAACAATCCGAAACCATCAGGAACATTCACGATTTCACAGAACAGTACGAATTTTTCAAAATCTGTGGAACTGCGCATGCTTCTGATGGTCTCGGACTGTTTATTTTTCGACCGCGAACAAACCAAATAAGTGCAGTTCTATGCAATGAACTTCGCAGCCACAGGTATAGAACTCACAATATATAAGTAATTCAGCTGAAGATAGTTAACTATTGAAAGAATCATGCTCTCCCAGATTGGCTACCGAATAGCGATATAGCAGTATATATATACCTATACCTTCCGGTGGTAGAAAATTTAGTTTCAGCAGAGTATAGTAAAGTTATTGATATATCAAAGGTTCCAATGTGCAGCTTCCATTCGAAAATGTGTAACGGAATAAAATTTGTTGTTGAGTTAGGAAGAAATGTATCAGCAAATACAGCTAATAGCACAATTATTCACCTCAGTATGATCTGCGTAAGATGCATGAATTTTACACGGATTACATGCATGATACACCTCTGAAGGACTGCCGTTCTAACCCATTTTTCTCGAGTAAGCATACCAGATCCGAGTCGTTTCCACATTTGGGATTTCGCTCCCAATCATTTGATGGTGGAAAAACCTACTATATAATATAATATAATATAATATAATATAATATAATATAATATAATATAATATAATATAATATAATATAATATAATATAATATAATATAATATAATATAATATAATATAATATAATATAATATAATATAATATAATATAATATAATATAATATAATATAATATAATATAATATAATATAATATAATATAATATAATATAATATAATATAATATAATATAATATAATATAATATAATATAATATAATATAATATAATATAATATAATATAATATAATATAATATAATATAATATAATATAATATAATATAATATAATATAATATAATATAATATAATATAATATAATATAATATAATATAATATAATATAATATAATATAATATAATATAATATAATATAATATAATATAATATAATATAATATAATATAATATAATATAATATAATATAATATAATATAATATAATATAATATAATATAATATAATATAATATAATATAATATAATATAATATAATATAATATAATATAATATAATATAATATAATATAATATAATATAATATAATATAATCTCAGGTAAGAGTCTATATTGCTCAAAATTGCTCAAAGTTGCACAAATTTTAATGGTGTTGTTACATAATCATAAGGGACATGTTTCGGTCTTATAAAAAACCTTCTATAGCCTAATTGAAAGTTCTACAATACAAAAAGGTTGATATGTGAAATAATTACCTAATTTGTGCTTGACTTACTTGGTGTTGAAAAATTTTTGGTGCCACTAGTTGTAGAATTGTTGTCAATGTCCATAGTCGAAAAATCAAATAATGAATGAAGAAACGGGTCTCAAGGGCCCTTTATACATTGAGAACACATTTCACAACAAGCACAAATTAGGTAATTCTTTAACATCAACCTTTTTGTATTGTAGAACTTTCAATTAGACTAAAGATGGTATTTCATAAGACCGAAACATGTGGCCCATTAGATTGTGTAACAACACCATTGAAATTTTTGGAGATGACTTCGATTATTTCTTCCTTTCTTTGGATAATTCAATATGATTATATCAATGAATATTTTGAATCTTTCATTTGCAGAAATGTGCGATAATTCAATTCCAAAAATGTTATTCTAACATTGAATAGAATATGATGTGAACTCTCAGAAGACAACGATTAGCCACAATATAGAAACGATAAACAAACTCTGTAATCGTTAGTTGACCTTCAATAGGTTGTGGTATAGGTTTTGTGACTATTTGACCAAACAACTGTCCAATGTAATATTGGTAGTATAATAAATTCCTATACCCCTAAGTAATGAGAAGTTAGAAGTAATGATTATCATACCTATGACATCAATGAGGAGAACATTAGGTGTTGATTCAAATACCTACTCGTTGAGGTATCTTTCATATTAGGTGTTGAAAAATAACATTGACCATCGAATAATCGATGACAGTATGACGTAGAACTATTGATAGATCAATATCCATGAGATATATGGATTCAGTGATATCGTATTATATTCAAAAAACATTGAATCAGAAATCAATGATCTAACACCGTGCTTACAGACTATTCAGAGGAATTGGTGAACGCGCCGGGTATGGTATAGCAGACATGAATGGGCCTTTCCAGAATCGTACAATTTGACCCTTTTTCGCTATAATGTTATGAAGGGAAGTCGAAAACGTTATTGTGACCACATACATATATTCATTGAGAAAATCGAACATCAAATGGATTATGTCATATTAAAAATGCTATTTCAAACACTATACCTGTGAGTTCAAACGCTACTGAGCTGTGATCTGTGATGTCAGTTACTTGCAATTTGATTGTTTGGAGTTTGTGACGGCTGGGAAGCACGCCCCTGTTGCCAGGTCTCTATGAAATCCTTGAATTGATCTTAGGTGCAAGATGGTGCAAAGGAATGTTCTGATTCTGAATAACTATGTAGTAGCTAGTTGATTAGTTGATTGGTAATTCAGTGCTGATAACATTCAATTTACTCTGAACTCAACAATATTCCATCAGTTTCAAGATCAGCGAGGATATAATGTGATGCAGTCATCTAACAGTAGGGCGCTATTCATATGGTTTAGTTTTATTCATGATGCAATGATTTTGTTGACTTCAATGGTATAATCAAAAAATTGAACACTGTTACTATATCTAGATTAGGTACTCAATCCCGGAAAATGTAATTGCTGATGTGGCAACTATGATGTTTACAAGGGCAAGAGATGAAGCAATAATTGGCCCTTACACAATGTTGCCAAGTTGAAGTAGGAATACCTCATTATCAACATCACTTCACTCACTTCTCAATAAGTATAATTGGAAATTAGGAAAATATTTTTCTGGTGGTGGGTTGATTGGATAATTCTCAGATCTCATGTTCTAGCTAAACAAGAATATTTCTTTCATGCAGCAGGAAACTCATGTTTTTCAATTTTCTACTACTAGAAATGATGAAGAATTATTACCAATAAGTATACTTTCGCTCTGGGTAGAATATCTTCTCGAATATCTCTATATCTGATAATTTTATCTCGTTGGGAGTGATGAATTTATTGAACAAAACTGAACAATGAATTCAAGAAATTGGAATAATCTGAAACTCATCAGTGTCGTAAAAATATTTGGGGAGAAGTTACCTCAACTCCCTGTGGCGCACCACTGGATAAAATGTGTGGAATGACTCTCTGGTCAAAACATGACATATATAGGTATACACGCAAAGATGGAACCATGCACTGGATTTGAATGTGAAATATTCAATCATTTTTGAGTTATTGTGAGGAAACTATTTTTTTCCCTTTACTTCAACACCCTGTATCTCGAAAACTGAACAATTGACGACCGTATGTTCCTACCTTATATGTCAAGCATTGTCGTTCGAATTTCGAAACACCCTGTATAACGAAATCGTAGATATTAATTCCACAGCTATAAAAATAACTTTGAAATTTTCAAGATATTCTTTGATGATAAGTTTGCATTATTAGCATGTCAAAACATTGTGCATGATTGGTACATATTTGGATTACTATATAATAGTAACATGTTAGATATAGAATTAAATGCAGTAAAGCATCATTGACCAGATTTTAGAGCAATCTTTTCTTTTTGTCACCATTCAATGCTCATAAGTATTTTGGTCTTCTTGATATTTTGTTGATCGCAAGATATAAAATAAGGTTGGACGAAATTTTATGTTCATTTAATGTAATTGGAATTATTCAAATCTGATGGCAGATCAGATCCTTATTCCTAAATGTCGGTATTGAAATTCGATAAGAAGTGAACTGCAAAATGTTTTATAGATTTTGTGAATAACAGAGTATCTGAATGAATCGTATACCACCCTATATAATATGCCGATCGAAATATTTCAACATGGTATGAATTTAAACTGATCCTGAACTGTATCGATCAACAATAGTAAAAGTCATTTTTTTAACAATATAAACTTCAACCCCCTGTATCTCAATATTGAACCATTCTATAGTGCATGCATGTGAATAAAAAGAGAAGATATAGGAATAATAATTTTTGGTAAAGGTATTTTTGTGCCACTCTTCAAGTTCGGCAGCTATACTTGATTTTTGAAAATAAAATGGAATTTGGAAAATGGCATATCTGTACATTTCTCAATTCCTAATAATTGGAATTATTTAACAAATTTCGTTAGAAAAACCATGAAAAACGAAGACATTAACAAACATGATATTCCACCGTCCAGCCTTCCATGCCTTTAAACGTACATGGAAACCCACTATTAAAAACAATAATTATATGGTGGGGAACGTTTGCAATTTGCACGTTGTTGATTTTCGTGAACTACACGTGACATTGTCCATTCAGAGCGCGGTAAACCAGCTGGATTCACGATAAACACGAGCAGTGGGGAGAAAAAGGCGGAGCCAAACCCTCACACCGTACAGCCGTACGCAACAGACTCCTAAACATCAGTTGCAAAGTAAACCGTGTTTAGAGCAGACGTGCTAAAACTCTGTCCGGTATATCGCGAATGTAAACCAAGTAGTTTTATTCTCAGTCTGTGATGAGTTAACTTTAAAGACTTTTTTACGTGGACTGATTGAAGCCCTATCGAGCAACATGATCTGGATAATGTTAAGTGCAGTTTTTGTGATAGTTTCTTCAAAAAGTCTTTCGACTTTTGAATCAGCACCGAAAGGATGTGATTGGCAGATGCAGATGTTAGATATCAATGACGAAGCCGAGGAGCCAGTATTGTTCTGTCAAATAAGGACCATCAACAGCGCGGAATCTTTGATACGGAATATGTCTCAAAATGAAGCTGAACGCGTGTCTGTGCTTATTTTAGAATGCAGCGATGTATTGTTCTTCGAAAGCTCCTTAGAGTCAACGAGACAAAGAAACTTCCTGTCAGGTCTTCGACATCTCAAAGACCTCCGTATCGAGAACTGTAAAATCCGTAACGTTCCTGCAACATCATTTTCTCAACTACGTCACCTCAGGCGTCTTTCGCTTCGTTCCCACAACTCGGAATGGTCTGCAATGACTCTAGACTTGCACCCTGAAAGTTTTCGTGGTTTGGGAGAGCTTCGTAAACTGGATTTAGCTGACAACAATATATGGAGTACGCCGGAGGAGTTATTCTGTCCCCTTTACAGTCTGACTCATTTGAATCTAACTCGAAACAAACTTCAAAACGTTTCGTCGCTCGGATTTTCTGATTGGGGTAATGGGCCTCTAGCTCCTGGCCGTGCCTGCGTGAGTGGTTTGGAACTCCTCGATTTATCATACAACGAGATCATAACTTTAACTGATAATCGACTTTCTGCACTGCGAACATTGGAAGAACTTCATCTAGAAGGTAACGCTATTTCTACGTTAGGTGACAGAGCTTTAGTTGGGCTGACATCATTGAAGACTTTGAACATGTCTAGTAACTTCATGGTAGCTCTACCTCCTGAGCTTTTCCAATCATGCAGAGAACTTCAACATCTATATTTACGAAACAATTCCCTGAGCGTGTTAGCTCCAGGGCTTTTGGAGGGTCTTGACCAACTTCAAGTATTGGATTTGTCCCTCAACGAGTTAACCAGCCATTGGGTAAACAGAGATACATTTTCAGGCCTCGTCAGGCTAGTCGTCCTGAACTTAGCCAATAACGAACTTACTCGAATCGATGCCAATTTGTTTCACGATCTGTACACTCTGCAAATACTCAATTTGGAGAACAATAGAATAAACGCGATTGCCGAAGGGGCATTTGCCGAACTGAAAAATCTCCACGCTTTAACTCTGTCTCACAATAACATGGCTCGCATTGAATCCCATCACTTCACCGGTATGTACGCTTTGAACCAGCTTTTGTTAGATTCTAATGACATTGAATACATTCATCCGAAAGCGTTCGAAAACGTGACGAATTTGCAAGATTTGGGTCTGAACGGAAATATGCTCGGTACGGTCCCTCCAGGCATCGGTCAATTGAGATTCCTTAAAACCCTCGATTTAGGAAAGAACCATATCGAATCAGTTACGAACTCATCATTCGAGGGTTTAGACCTGCTTTATGGCCTACGATTAGTGGACAACCATATCGTAAATATATCAAGAGATGCTTTTTCAACGCTACCTTCATTACAAGTATTGAATTTGGCATCAAATAAAATCAAATATGTGGAACAAAGTGCTTTCTCGAGTAATCCCACACTCAAGGCCATACGTCTCGATGCTAATGAACTAACAGATATAAGTGGTGTATTTACCAACCTGAAAACTTTAATATGGCTGAACGTTTCCTCGAATAAATTATTATGGTTCGACTACAGTCATTTGCCTGTCAGTTTGGAGTGGCTTGATATGCACGATAACCAGGTTACTGAACTTGCAAATTACTATGACGTTAGAAATACGTTGAAGATAAAAATGCTGGACGTAAGTTACAACTTGATAACAGAGATAAAAGAAAATTCCGTGCCAGACAGTGTTGATACTCTTTTGTTGAATAACAATAAAATTTCAGTCGTTCACCCAAACACATTTCACAACAAGAAAGATCTGAAAGAAGTCGTCCTATACGGCAACGAGATTCGATATCTAGACATGAATTCGTTAAGTCTCAGTCCAGTCATGAATGATAGAGACCTTCCTCAGTTCTTCATCGGAGGCAATCCTTTTTACTGCGATTGTAACATGGAGTGGCTTCTCAGAATCAATCATCTCAGTAATTTGAGACAGTACCCGCAAGTATTGGATTTGGACGCGGTTACCTGCGAGCTTGCACATTCCAGGGGCGCGCCGCCACAACCACTATTGAACTTGAAGCCGTCGAATTTTTTGTGCCCGTACGAAACCCACTGTTTCGCTTTATGTCATTGCTGTGAATTCGATGCTTGTGACTGCGAGATGACTTGTCCTGACAAGTGTACGTGCTATCACGACCACACGTGGTCTTCTAACGTAGTCGACTGTAGCAACGCTGGATACACAACGGTACCTGAGAAAATTCCGATGGATGCCACTGAAATCTACCTGGACGGTAATGACTTGGGTGAGCTTGGGAGTCATGTTTTTATCGGCAAGAAAAAACTTGAAGTTCTGTTTTTAAATAACAGCAACGTCAAGGCTCTACACAATAGGACATTCAACGGTGTCAATTCGCTAAAAGTGTTACACATGGAGAATAATGAGTTGGAAGAATTGCGCGGGTTTGAATTCGATCAACTTGAAAATATCAATGAACTCTACCTGGACCATAACAAAATTGAATACGTGGACAATAATACGTTCAAAAACATGCCGAAATTGGAAGTGCTTAAACTCGACGAGAACGAAATTGTAGACTTTACCCCGTGGCAGCTGGAGAGCGGAGATTCGAACTCCCACCCGCGCGTGACTTTAGACGGCAACAAGTGGTCGTGCGATTGTAATTTTATAGCTCGTCTCGTAACCTGGATCCGCGAAACGGGTGGCGATCCCTCGAAAATGAATTGTGCGGGTCACGAGGGCTTCGAAACCGTAGCTGACGTCATACGTAGGTGCGAGGATATAGACAATGCGGTCGCGACCTCGGTCGTCCAGCGCGAATTGAGCCATCAGCTGTTGGGAGGCAGCTATGTGCCGCTGCTTGCCGCCACCCTCGTAGCGGTCATCGTGGTTAGTTTGTTGGTAGCCGTCTTGTTCATCTTCCGACAAGAAGTTCGTGTGTGGGCGCATTCCAAGTACGGAGTACGTATTTTCCAGGACGGAGCCGCCGTTCATGAAGACGACGACAGGGACAGATTGTACGACTGCTACATGGTTTACAGCCACAAAGATGAAGATCTGGCGTCCAGGGTGATCGCCCCCGAACTGGAGCACTCCGGCCATACCATGTGTCTGCATTATCGCGACTTGCACCTCATGGGCGGCGCGTCATACTTGGCTGACGCTATGGTGGGCGCAGCTGATGCTTCTAGACGAGTGGTCTTCGTAGTCTCTCCTATGCTGATATGCACGGAGTGGTCGCGTCCAGAGTTCAGGGCAGCGCTCCAGGCAGCCTTGCGAACGGCCTATCGACATAAGCTCGTATGTATACTTAGCGGCGACCCTCTGGAGCCGATGGATCCGGAACTCAGAGCTTTACTGCGTGCCTGCACCGTGACGAGATGGGGGGAGAGGCGTTTCTGGGAGAAGTTGCGATACGCCATGCCGGACGTTATAAATACCGCTAGACGGAATAAGAAACCAGCGGAGATCCGGTGTAAGACGAATTCTAGATATACTCCGGCGCCGTCTACTCACGATTCCTGGTATAAATATCAGCCAATGCCAGGAGTTCAAGCCGCTGCAATCACCCCAACTCCAACGCAGAGCACGTATGTTTCGGGGGGTGAATCTGCGAGGACTACAGAGGACGAGGCTGGATCAAGTTCCAGTAGCCAACACTATGGTTCTGAGCAAATGAATCATAGTTATGTATCAATTGATGGTAGGCCTCCCCAGTATACTCAATATCCGCCTCAATTTCCTTCCTGTAGGAATGAGATTGCTCATCATGTATATTCTACTATTCCTGATGCAACACCGCAAACGAGGACTTATTTCGTTTAGTCATTGCTGAGGTAATTCTCAAACTCAAAAGGCTGTTTTTACTTAATTTATCTCGTGTGAATTTTAAATTGCATTCTTGAATGTCATTCGATACATACTTACTTATTATTACTATGTAATATGATAGTTGATTGATATACATTCTGTAAATATTTTATCAAGATTATTTATTTGTATTGTACTAATTACCGAACGCTTATTAGTCATTATTTTTAGGAATATTGTAAATACTCAATTCTTATCTCTATCAAGGTTTTGATTAAAGACTGTTGAATATGCGAATTAAATCATATTTACCGATAATAAAACAATTTTTTTCATAAATTCAAGTGTTTCTAAGCTGATTTCTCCTTCATTTTCAGTCAATCAATCCATATACACAATTATTCGTGTATTTCATGATGAGAGAGAGAGTCAGAGGTGATATCTGAAATTATTCAAGATAAGAAAAAATATATCTTGATGAAATAACATTAAATGAAATTCACTTCTTCTCTTATCACTATGCAAGTGTAGATAATCCACTAATTATGAAGTGAGTTATTATTAATTCGAGACATTTCTGTTTGCAAAATAGTAGACTGTAAATTTGATTCCTCAGATTATACTGAAAAACTTTCTAGTTTCTCTTTACCTGCATTCACTCTTGATATGGATATTTCTTTTATATTAATGGATGTGGTATCTAAAATGAATTAAAATGATATATCAAATTTCAAAGGACCAAATGCTTGAATTAGAATATAATTTGATATATATAATTATATATATTTCTTCAGAATGGGTAAACGGGGAGAAGAGTTGTTCGATTATAAGAAAGGTTCATTTGTAGAAATACATCTTCTTGGCAATGAAATAAATTTTGATTGATCAGAGAAATATTTATTTTCACAAAAAAAGAATAATTTCTCTATGAATAACGATCAATATTATAAACTTGAGTTGATTCAAATTATATAACAAGTCTATTCAGCTCTTGGTCCAGCTGTTCCAATTTCTATTCTAGTTGGTTGTGAGTGTATGAAATTGCATCTGAGAAAAAATAAGGTAAGTATACAGTGTGTCCAACATGAGGACGTCTATCATGTGTGGATCTCGTGAATGGTTTTCTTACGAGAGAAAATTCTTATAATGGTCATAGAACATTGTGCAAACCCAGGAAAGATTGGGTAGGTATTGGATTTTTCTCGGGATTTTTTTTACTCATGGAGGTTATGAATTTTTACTGAAAAACTTTCACCGCTGTGCTATGGAGCACAAGGAGTGGCTATGAGAAAGGGGTTTTTGTTTTCCAGTATCTCTTTGAATAACGTCAGGAAAAAATTAAAACCAAAATTACAATATTATGAATTCGAAAAAAAAAATCAGGCGTGATTATCATAAGGCTACATCTCGAGCAGAAACAGTGGAGATCATCTCATTGGATTATTCTTGAACATTGAAAATCTCGATAGTTTCAAATACCTTTTGTCTTTTGGTTCATCCGATCATCATCAGTCACAGAACTTGAATATTCTTTTTTTTTGCGATTTCCTCTTCTCAACTCTATTGATGGATATAGATCAGTATATCATTTGAGGCAAATGACCTGATTTGTCCCCACTAGAAGCATATCAAAATTATACTCTTATCATTATTTATAGAAATGAAGAGATGAATATCCAAACATTGGATGAAAGAATGAGCACTTCTGTCCATCAGGTGAATATAATTTAAACTTTTTTGAATTTCAATAATATGCCTCGAATAATTGAAGTAAAACATTTCTCAGAAGTGTCATTTTCAACATATTTTGAACAATCTGAGATAGCTTCCTACTAAAAAATGAGAATTAGTGATGATACTGACCTTTCTACTATTTCCTATTGATATTCATATACCTATTGAGAAATCAATCATCATTTACTCGAAAGTCCTGAATTTTGACGAAATATACAAAATGAGAAAGTCAATATACATAATGTACACGTAAATTATTTTATATGACTACAACGACCCATGTATGTAAAGTCTGTGCGATTTGAAACCGTTTGAAACTCTTGAAATTTGACACCCTCGATCGATTTTCATGAACCAAAGTTTCGAATCATAATACCTCTTGAAACATATTGACAGATCTGGAATATCCAAATTCATCATGGCAGAATGATTCTTCTTTGAGAAAGAGTCATCTTTCTGTGAAGAATTCAATGGCACTTATATATTTCATCACGTATAATCATTTGATGTGTTTCGAGATGTGTTCTTTCAATGAATGAATTTTCCAACGATCATATTGAAACAGTGTGAGAAACGGACATTTCGAAAATTCACTCTTCACACACTCCCAATGATGTACACCTACTATTGTTGATACAGGGTGTCCCGAAATTGTCTGCCAAACTCTCGGTATTACATGATCGTACTTACTTCTAAGTAAATACGTAGTTACAGGCAGATTTCAGAGCCTCTTTGTGACCTGCGTATAATACGTTCAAACTGTTCCAACCGGAGAAACTCTATATAATCAATTCCGAAGGAAAAAATAAGGAAGAAAGCCAGAAAACTGTCTGCTGAATACAGTGAACATATGTTAGTTGATCTGTATGAATTAACCGTTTTGCAATCATACTTGAAATCTGAATTCAGGATATTCAATATTCTTGCATCAAGATATCTGGATGTTAACAGCATGCTTCCTATTCATAACCTTTTTGGTTAACACTTTTCGTAATCAAAACTGATAAAAAAATATCTGAACATCAAATGTGGTAAGAACGGCTATCAGATTTGTCAGTAATGTCTGAGTATAGAGGCAGAAAGTCTCGAAAAACTATAATCGTTTTCAGCTATGGAAGATGCAATAGATATTTTTGCCGAAAATAAGGTGAGAATAATATATATTCGAATTGTTTGGTATAGCCTCCAGAAATTTAAGAAGAACACCAATTCCTACCTTATCTCCCTTGGTTCTCACGATGTTCTCTGGACATTACAGGATATTCCTTTTCGTGGGAACAAGAACATAAAAAAATTAGCTCACAATAGGAACATTATTTGTAACTGATCACTTACAAGTCATAAATATTAATTTGATTAAATGCAAATGTTTTTGAATATATCCTCAGTCATTTCCACAAATGATCATGAATGAACGAAACTGGTAGATAACGAGAGAATGAGAAAACTATACTTTCCTGGCTATATGCCACGCAGAACATGGAGTTTCTTTCTGAAAAATACCCTGTAACTCACAGATTTGTTTGACAACTTCTCGTAATCAAGAGTGTCACAACACAAAAACATACATCAATGTCGATGATTATTTCCCATTATGTTGGAACTGGTCTATATTTCTTCAATACACGTATGATCTTTATATCCAAATATTTTTCACTGTCACTTTTTGTCACTCATACTAAGATTGAATTTTTCTCTCAAGTTTCTGGACATTTCAAGTGCAGTGACATTTTTCGACCAATCCTCTCATTTGGAAACCGAAATAATGTAGGAAATGGAATTTTCATTTAGGTTACATGAAACTCAATGGAACTTCCGTACTCCAAACAAATCTTCTTGTACACGATACAGAGACAAGAAACATTTCGAATTTCCATGTCAATGTCAAACAGGGGAGGCATCAAGAAAGAGTGTTACCGTTTCATTTTTCAAATATTATTTCTATTTTTATGAAATTTCAGACATATTTACAATTCTCATAATCAACATCGTTCTGTTTTATTTCAAGCATATGAACAATTAGCAAATCAAATGTATTTGGGAATGGAATCGAATACCAGGAAGAAAGAATAATATCACAATGATAAATTATATACATTCGATGAGTTTCCAGGAAAATCTGCAATAGAATGAAGCAAACAATGATCATGAATAGTTATTTGCTTATAACAAGTGCGGAAAGTAGTACATTTTCGCACGCGACGGCTGTTGCACAAACGACGCGTCGTTTGTGCAACTCCGAAAGAGTCAGGTACAAAGTTTTTGCCACGAGTGTTTTTCTCCATATTATTTATAAAAAAAAAAAACGTTTTCAATAAACAATATTTTATAATGATGCTAAAAAATTACACATGAGACAGAATAGTTACATGGATAATCTAGTTCGTCTTGAATTTCCTTATTTTCAACAATACAAATATCGTACGGAAAAGTAAATTTTCAGCACTAGTGCGGTAAAATAACTTTTCCGCACGATATTTGCATGCACTGAAAAATAATGAAAATGTTTTTTTTTATCGATAATCGATGCATAAATTCGAGTTGGGGATCATAAACATTTGCTGACATATACTTATACTGGAAAAAAATCAGTGAAATTTCACTCAAGTTCCACGCAACAATGTGTCAATTTTGGTCCCTACTTGAATGTGTGAAATGGTATGTAATTCATATGCTGATTCAATTAAATTTGTTGTGAACATTCTCATTGATGCAGGAAAAACTTGATGAAATATCTAGTTTGAGTTGAGAAATCACTCAAAATGTTAAATCAATAAATTCATTCACAATCACATATGCAGTCAGTCAAATACATTTTCTACAGTGTAAGATTCATGAACAAAAACCAAACCCCACATCGAAATCTGCTCTCTCAGATTCTGACTTTCCGATAGACCCTTGATACTGAACATTTTTTGTCACCACTTACCTACCTTTATGATACAGGATAACAGGACAATCGATTCCGAAACGATAAATTGGTTTGTGTTGACCAAAATTCATAGAGAATTCTCACCATTCCATTCATTTATTAAATACCAGGTAGCCCCGACTTGTGTGGTGTTCCTCTACATATATTATACATAATAGAATATCTTACACCCATACAAAAAATTATAGAGGGATTACCTGACTGCGGTCAAAATAAAGAGATATATT